TTTTTTTTTTTTTTTTTTTTTTCTGTTATCTATATAATATTAAATAGCCATATTTTTTATAAAGAGAAAAAAAAAAAATTTTTTTTTTATGTATGTGCATAAATATATGCAGAATATTTTTTTTTTTTTTTTTTTGTTTTTTTCTCTATTTTATTTTTGTGAAAACAAGTTATTTTTTGAGCATTTATATTTATATATTTTAAATATTTATAGTTATGTAGATATTTAACTTTTTTTTTTTTTATTGAATATAATTTTTTTGAATGATGTGATTTTTATATGTATGTTTGTATTCATGTTTTTATGAATCAACACTTTTATATATAGTTTTGACTTTTAATTTGTATTAATTGTTTTACATTAAAATGCAGAAATTCTATGTTTAAAAAAAATGTTCAGTAGTTTAAAAAAATTTTATAAATGCTCAAAACCTTATTACTCCAATAAAATTAATGATTATTTTAATCCTTTGAAATTTACAGGAATTGTAATTTATGTTAACCAAGAAAATGTTACGAAATATGAAAAAAGTATCATAAAATATTTGAAAACTGATATTGTTGGATTTGATACTGAATTTGTTATTGATATAAATAATTCTAATAAAAAGTTTTTGAAAAATTTTGAAAAAACTAATTCATTAATTAATAATATATCTGAGATAAACACTTTAAACAATATAAAAACAACTAATAAATTATTAGAAAAAAAATATCAAAATAATTTAATTAATAAATACAAAAATAAAAAGAACATCAATAAAATAAATATCTTTAAAAAAAAAAAAAATAGTGAAAATACATATGAGGAAAATAAAAAGTTATGCTTAATTCAATTAAGTTCTAACGATATTTGCTTTGTTTTTAATATTAATAAATTAAAAGGAAAAATACCTCAATCTGTTAAAGAAATACTTGAAAATGATAAAATAATAAAAGTTTGTCATGATATTAAAAATGACAAGGATATGTTTCTATCAAACAACATTGAAATAAAAAATGTTTTTGACCTATATAATTATTCTATAGAAAATTTTATTTATCCACCTTCTTTGCAATCTTTAGTAAAAATATATTTAAAAAAGTTTCTTGACAAAAATTTTAGGTTATCAAACTGGTTAAGTGATAATCTAATAGAGGAGCAAATTCTTTATGCCGCACTTGATGCTTATGCTTCTAGAGAAGTTTACATGATTTTAAAAAATCAAAATAAAGTTGATAAATGCAAATTATTTAATTTAAATATTGAAAATGATTCATCTGGTATGAAAGAAAATATTATAGGATCAACATATGTAAATGAAAATAAAAATTGTGTTAAAACAAATGGAGAGGAAACAAAAACTGATCTTGAAAAAATATGTGATAATACAAAAAACACTAAAATTAGAATTAAAGAAATAATATCATATGATAATAATTACAATGAAAAAAAAAAAGAAAGAAAAAAAGGTTATGAATATTTGGAAAAGAATAAGTCAAATATAATTAATAATTTGAAAAATGAAATAAATATGAAATGCTCTAAAATAAATAACATTACATTTCTTGAAGAAATGGTTTTTTCTAATGATTCTTATAAAAACGTTTTGTATTTAAAACATATAGAAAAAAATAATTATTTGATTAAACTTTCATCCTTTAATTATGATGATGAAATAAATTGTTGTAATGTAATTTTAAATTATATTAATAAGATGTCTTAATTTTTTCTTACTTTTATATTATTTATTTTTATTTATCATATTTTAATATATATTTTTTTGTCTTTTTTACATAATGTTTTATTATTTAATATTACCAAGATTTTTTTTTTTTAGTAATTTCTTTTATGTAAATTAAAATTTTTAAAATATCATAATTTTGAATTTTTTTTTATTTTTTTACATTTTATATTTTTTAGAATAATTATTTCAGAGGATAAAACATAAAAATTTCTTTTAATTTTTAGAGTAAAACATTATATTATTTATTTTTAAGAAAAGAAGTCTAAAATTTAGAGAATTCTTGATTATATTTTTATGAATTTTAAAAATAAAAAATTTAAATATGTCTATAATATATTTTAAAATATTTATTTTGTAAAATGTAATTCATATATATATATATATATAATTAGTTTGTGAGAATTAAATCATAAGGTACATCTCAAAAAAAAAAGTAAAAAAAAAAAAAAATGTGAAAAAAATTAAATTATTTTTTGTATTCTACATATATATTTATATTTACATGTTTCATTTTGTATATTATGAAAATGAAAAATGGTTTTTATTTTTGGATGGATAGGAAATAGAATAATTTAAAATGCAATCATATATAAAACTAGGAGTTACAAATAATGGGAGTTTTTTTTTTTTATTTTTTTCTTGTAGAGAATTATAAAAAGAAATAGCATTTTGATCATTAGAATTAGAAATAATGATATATTCAGATTCTAATGGATCCTTTACTAATTTTCCTTCTCCTAAAATAATTAGAGTTTTACATAAAAATAAGGGATCATAATAATTAGATTGTTTAACATTTTCAATGTTAAAAATATAAAAAAATTGTTTATTAAACAATCTATCATGTGCTAATTTTTGTCTAGTATTGAAATTTTTATTACAAACAATAAACTCATTTTCTGAGCATATAGTATTCCAAAAAACATCACTGTATTCTGGCCATTTTTTATATTTTTTTAAAATAATATCTATTGCTCTCTCTTTAAGTAAATAAACATCACTAACTAAACTACATAATATTTTGGGATCATATAAATCTACATTAATTTTTTCATTAGGAACTATACAAAAACTTATTTTATTCCATTCATTAATATCACTTGGTAAATCATAAATTTCTATACCTTTTGTTCCTGCTCCATTTTTGGTTATTAATCCTTGTGGATCATAAGTATAATTTGGGGGTCTCAAATGTTTTATCTTATTTAACTTATTATATATTATATCTTTATAGTAATTATTTGCTGCTCCTATCAATTTTATTTTATTCACTAATTCTCTCCCTTCATAATAACTGGAATCCACATTATGTGATAATTCATCTGAATAGGAAGAATCAGTACTCTCATAATTAGTTGTCCTCTTAAATCTTTTTTCTTTTTCTTTTATTTCATTTATGATTTTTTTCCTTTTCTTTTTTATGTTTTCTGTATTTAGTATTGTATTATTAATCATTATGTTGTTTTTATTTATTTCATTTTCAATCAATTTCAGCTTAGATATTTTAAAATAATCATAGCAAGAACATATTTTAAAATCAAAGAATTTTACAATATTCATATAAAAATTCTTAAAATTTGTTTTTTTTATTATCCATATATTATCAGTTTTATTCCATTGAAATAAATTGGTTTCTTTAATTTTTTTTATAATTTCTTCATTATACGGCAAAATTTTTATAAACATAGAATCACTTTTTATGATATTATTTATAATTATATGTTCTATCTTAAACATTTTTACCTTTTTTAAATATTCAATAAATTCAATTTTGTTTTCTTTAACAAATATATCAAAATTGTAACAATTGTTATTTAATGAATTATCAGATTTATTCTTTATGTTACTATTATTTTGGTTATTACCTATCTTATCCGTATTATAATTATTATTCAAAAGTTCACTATTTTTTATATTTTCAAAGTTGTTAATATTGTTATCAATTTGATTATCGTTTATTATATTATTATTTAATTTATCCTTCTCACAATTAATTTCATTATTTTCCTCCATTTTATTTTCCTCTATTTTATTTTCATTAAATTTAATACTACACTTCATTTCTTTCTTCTTATTAATATTATCCTTTATTTGTATGTCATCTTTTCTATTATCCCTTTTGTTGTTAATATCATCGCTTCTTATTTCTTCCTTATTTAATTCATTCATTTTCAAGTTATTCACGTTTTTAATACTTGAAAAATGATTAAAAAGCTTACATAAATAATAAAGAACTAAATCACTAACCATTCCACCTAAAAATAATGTAAGCTTAGATATTTCAAATATGTAAAATAATGGTATATGCCATACTTTTTTTTCATTTTCCCATTTTACATTTCTACAGTTAACTTTAAAATATGAAGTTATTATTTTATTTTCATTTGTATATTTTAATTTTAAAATCAAATGTCCTTTCTTATCACTTGTTATATCATTACAATATTTGTTGTCATATAAGATGAAATTATATATATTGGATACATCTATATTTACCCATTCCTCTAAATAATTTATGTTATTTATACCTTCTATATCGTTTAAAAAAAAATCAAAATTATTTTTTTCTTTTTCATTTATATGCATATCTAAAAATATCTCATCATTTTTAAATACTTTTTCTAAATTTAATAAATTTTTATCAATTTTTTCAGTTTCAATTTTTTTAAAGTAGTGTATTCTAATAAAGCCATTATTCTCTTCTTTTTTATAATATTTAGAAAACATATTAAAGCAAAAAAATGTATATATATACAAATATATATATATGAATATGATATCGTTTTTACATTTATAAATCCAAAATATAAAAAAAATTTACAAATTTCCTGATTAATCCTGATTTTTTTTTTTTTTTTTTTTTCACATTAAAAATTACAAAATATTCTTCTGATTTTTTCTGTTAAAATTTTTATTCATTATTTTCTTCAATTATATTTTAAAAACATAATTTGTTTTTATTCATTTTTTTTTTTTTTTTTTTTAGATATAAGACATTTTTTCATTTGTTTAATATATATTTTTATTTTAAATAAATATTTTTTTCACATTTTTTTATTTTTTATTGCTTAATTTGTGGCTATAAACTTTGTATATTATATTTTATTTTTTTTTTTTTTTAATGAACAATTATAATAAAATTATGAAAATAATTTTAAATTTACATAATTTTTTTACTATTAATTCATAAGATTCATAATATATTAAATATGATTATCATACAAATAAAAGACTACAAAAGAATTGTATACTATTAAGATAAAATACTTTATTTTAAATTTAATGTAATAAATTCTTAAAATTAAAATAATATATCCTAAAAAACATATTAATATATGTTTTTCTTTATATAATAAAGTAAAATAAAATGAAAAAAAATGAAATAAACTAATTTACTCTTTTTTTAAAAATATATATAACGCTTCAAATAATAATCTTGTAAGAATAAAATAATCTACGTTAATATTACTTTTTATCAAAAAATATTACTAATATAAAACTTAAAAACATTAAAAAAATTAATTGTATTAATTTTTTTATAAAATTTACATTTATAATTTATAGAAAATAATAAAAAAATACAGAAAAAAAGGAAAAAAAAAAAGTTCTATTAAAAACAAAAAAAAAAAAAAAAAAAAATTACTATTTCTTTTTTTAAAAAAAATTATAACAATTATTTCAAAAAATAATGTTGTTTATATAAAAATGGATAATAAATAAAAAGATAATTTCAACTTTCATGATATTAAACTAAATTTAGAAAAAAAAAAAAAAGTTACACATGGCACAAATATATATATATATATAATATAAAAAATATGAACAGCAAAAAAATAAAAAAGAGTAAAAAGGAATGTATATAAATAATAATATATCATAAACTTATATACTTTAATTAACAAGTTTTCTTAAGAACATCATTTATTGTAATCTGACTTATAATAAACATAAATTAAATATGTATATATATATATATATATATATATATATATATATATATACCTTTTGCTAATATACATTCTTATTATGTGAAAATGTATAATTTTTAACATAATTTCTTCCTTTTTTTTTTTTTTTTTTTTTAAAAAATAGTAATACTAATATAATTCTTGTTATAAAAAATGATTCTTGTTGAAGTCATTTGCTTATCAATAATGCTAAAATTATATTTATAATTATTTTAATTAAGATTATTATACTTTTTATTCTAAAAAAAAAAAAAAAAATTAATTCCAATAATAGATATTCATATTACAATTACTTATTATTTTGTTTCTCTCCTAGTAATAATTGTTTTTAATTAATTATGCTAATTTAATTCATAAAAATATTAAATTATTATTTTTTTCATAATATATATTATTAATATAATTATTTTTATATTATTTTTATTTCTAACAAATATTTATTTTGTTATATTCTTATACCCTTTACTTTTTGTATTTTCCACTTATTTTACTTTTATTTTTTAATTTCTTTTAGATTAATTCTATTTTTCTCTAATTATATTTTTATATTCATAAATATTTCTGAAATATTGAAAAAAATGTATTTATATTTTAAAGGATACAGAAACATAAGGATATATTTCTTCATCATTTTCATCTGATTTTTTGATATAATTTTTCCCAATTGAATCAGTTGATGAAAAGATATCATACAATTTTTTTCGTACTTTCTTTTCCTTGCTTTCTCCATTTATTCTTATACTAAAGGATGCAAAATTGGGAGGAACACCAAATCTTAAAACAGATTCACAAAAAACTCTTAAAATGTTGATGTGAATAAAAGCGATAAAAATATCTGAAAAAGCAGCTAAACACATTCTTCTTAAAAATGTTTCTTGTCTAATAATTTCTGCTTCAATTTTTGTTCTTGTTTCCATCATATCATTATATTGTTTTTCATCATATTTAAATGATTTTACAACAATTTTTTTTAATTTTGCAGCTTGTTTAAAATTTTCTGCATATTTTTTAAAAACTAATACTTTCCACAAAGTATTTCCATCTTTGTCAACTAAATCTTTAAATTGTTCTGTTGATCTAGGTACAACATATTCGCAAAATTTTTCATAAGTATTCTTCCACTCTTCAACTAAATTTTTTGGAATACATGCAACTAAAGTTGTTAAATGTTCAGTTTCTATAAAATCTGATTCACTTACTGTTTGTGGAGTTAAAATTTCATTTAAATTTCTTAATAAAAAATTATTAGAATCACTTATTGGTATATCTTTCTTCTTTTTTTCTTTTAAATCATTTAGCATGCTTGATTTAATTTGTATTTCATCTGATAGTTTCGTTATATTATTAATCATGATATCAACTGTATCAGTTAATGATCTATTTCTTGGATATTTTGCATCATCCCAACTAAAACGCCTTATATATTGATCTATATTTATATGTTGTCTCTGGTATATTATTTTTAATTCAATATTTTCATCATATTCTTTAGCTATTTTTTCAATTTTTTTTAAACATCCATAAGCATAACTATCATATTTTTGTAAATCATCTGCACACTTCAATAAATCATCAAAGGAACAAAATTTTAAATTAGTTGGTACATCTAATATGTTAGTATCAATGCATATATGACTACCTAACAACCTATTTTTTAAGATGGTATAAATATATTCTCGACTAGTATTATCTCTGGTTGAGCAAGCAATAAATAAACACATTGGTATCTCACTCATATTGTGAGCTTATTTATTCTACATTTAATATATATTTATATATATATAATTTATACATTAACACATATAATACAATAAATTATATATAAATAGAAAAAAAATATATTTTATATATATATAAATATATATATATATATATTTTTTTTTTTTTTTATGTTCATAAGAAATTATAAGAAAATAGATAAGCAGTTTGTTTATTCTTTCCAATTTCTTCAGAAAAAAAAAAATATATGTAATTAAATATATTTAGGCATATTTGTAACAGTTGACAAAATAAAGATTAAAAAATAAAAAAATTTAGAACATAAAAAACTCTAATAAAAATAGAATATAAATTTATAAATGTATATAATAGTGTTTTTATCAATGTTAAATTTTTTGTATTTATTTAAATATTTTAATAGGTACATATCTTTTAATGAACAAAAATACATATATTATACTTTATCATATACATTATATTATTAATAATATTTGAAATAATTGAAATTTATGAAAATGTTAACGTTTTCAATTGTAGCAAAAGGAAATAATAAAAAAAAAAAATAATAAAACAAAACATATAAAATGCCATTAATATATATAAAAAAAATAAGAAATGCACTTTTTTGTTTTTTTTTTTTTTTTTTTTTTTTTTTTTTTTCTTAGTCATTGGCTTATATTTCCTTTAATAATAAAAATAAAAATAGAGAAAAATAAAATTATATATCCACATGAAGCAATTAAAATGTCGTTAGCATGATTTAACTCTTTTTTTGTTAGATTTTTTTCATTTTTTCTTTTTTTTAATTAGTATATTTCATTGTTATTTATATATAAATATATATTAAAAAAATTTCTATTTATAGCTAATTTTTAAAAAAGTATAAATAATTAAATTCCATTTTTCTTTTATTCTTCAAAGTATATTTTACCTATTTTTTCAAAAATATATATATATTTTATTTGTATTTTATTAAAAATATGATATTTATATTTTATGCTTAGTTTATAATTTTAATTTCAAAATGAAATATATATATGTCTTTAAAAAAATATATAAATCCTTGTTATATATAATATTAAAAATAAAAATATGAACTAAAAATAAATAAAAAGGCAAAATAATATATATAAGAATAAAAAAAAATAAATATATATGTATTCTTAACAGTGTAGAAAAATACATTCATATATATAAATATATATATATATATATTTTTTAATTTATTTTTTTGCACAATTATGAAAAAATGATTAATTTGACACACACACACATACATGCATAAATACAAGAAGTTAAAAAAAAAAAAAAAAATTTTTTTTTGCTTTTAAATTGATTTTATGATATTCATTTTTTTTTTTTTTTTATATCATATACTTTTCCTTTAAATTACTTTTATTTTTAATTTTATTTTTATTTTATTCTTAATCATTGTTTATATTAGAAGTTCTTAAAATATGTTAATATATCTTTATAGACTGTTAGTCCTATTTCAGTAGGTAAATTTTTATCATCTAAAGTTAAATCGTTTTGAATTAATTTTTTATTATTTTCAACATAGTAACTTATGAATGAATTAATTTCCTCATGACTAATCTTGTCACCTACTAATCCCAAATACATTTTTAATTGATCTAAGTTAATTTTTTTATTTTTATTCATATCTAAGACATCGAAATATTTTTTAAATGTCTCATCATCATCAATAGTTTGGAATAATTTTCTTTTTAATAATGTTAAAAACATAGGTAAATTCATTTTACTTAATTTTTTAGTTTTCATTTCTTTTTCAAACCTTTTTATATCTCTTATATCATAAATTTGCTTTAACTGTCTAGCCATTTTAGGGAATAATTTTATATCCAATTCTCCCTTCTTTTCAATATCATGATATTTAAATAATAATTCAGCTTCAGAAAAAAAATTTATAATTTTGCTTCTAAAAATTAATAAAAAAAAAAAAAATAAAAACAAAGCAAGTAATATTAAACTATGAAATTATTTCTAATTATGTAGTATATATGTTAACATTCTATTATATCCTAATATATTTATTACATTATTTTTTTAAATAAATATTTATATATATATATATTGACATTCCCTATTATAGATATAATAAAAAAAAAAAAAAAAGCTACTTTTTTATTATAATAATAAAAAGTGAAAGTGTAATAATAACCTGTTGTAAAAATTTGTATTTCGTGATTCCTCTTTCTGTTGCTTATCTAATTTATGTATTATTTTCAAGACAATCTTTTTAGTAACTTCATTTTCATAATTAAGTTCAGGTATCTTATTAATATATAGTAAATCCATACTATTTGTGTATAACTGTTAAAATAATTTTAAATTATTTTCAATATTTACATGCAATTATTAAAATACCTTTTTTAAATTAAAAGTTTAAAAGAAAAATCTTATATTGATATTTTAATATTTCATTATTTTAGTTATCTATTTTAATATTTTATATGGACTAGATAGTGCTAATTTTAACATTTCATGATTTATATTTATTTTTAAATAATATTTAACTTGAATATTATTTACAAAAATAAAATTTAGTTTCATCATTATTATATTTTAAATAAACAAATTTAATTTTTTGCACATAAAAAATTTTAAATAATTGTCAGAAAAAACTTATAAACATTAAAAAAAAAAAAAAAAAAGTGCCATCATTTTAATAGTTAAATTTTCTATTTATTTTGTATTATCTAAATATGTATAATGCATAAATTACTTTTAAATATATAAATATGTTATATTTTTTTTTATATATTTATGTGTAAATATATAGTATTGCATTGTAATAAATAAAACATATATAAACACAATTTTTTTTTTTTTTTTCATCTAATTTTTAACTTTTGTATAATTGTATCAAATAGTATAATATAAACTAAATAGACACATTTGAAAAAAAAAAAAAAATTAAATTAAATAAAATTGTATTTTAGAACTATTAAAAAAAAATGCATATTAATCTAAATATAAAATGCAAAAATATAAAAAAATAATATTTATTTAATATTTATCTTTTATTTTTGGAAAAAACATCAAATTATTAAATTTAAATGATATTATATATATATTAAATATATGTATATTTTTCTAATCAATTTTTAACTTATTTATTGATTGTTCTTTCTTTAATTTTCTCTTCGCATAAAATTTAATAACTTCATCAATTATTATAACAGGAAATGACCATAAGAATACAAGAAGCCAATCATAATATGTCAAAGCAACAACACCAAAAATACGAGCTAAAGGAGGAATATAAATTATTAAAAAGTGTAAAAGTAATGATCCAATTGTAGCTAATACTAAATAAAAATTTCTCCAAGGTGGTATTTCAAATAATGAATTATATTCACTTAAAGCATTTAATGCATTAAACATTTCAATTAAAACAAGAACAGACAAAGACAATGTACTTGCCTACAAGGAAAAAAAAAAAAAAAAAAAAAAGTTAATAAAAAAGTTAATAAAAAATATTATGGTCCTTTAATTTTTCTATAGAATATGGAATAACGGTAATTAAAATTGATACATATTTAAGTTATTAATTTTTATCAAATATATTATTTACCTTGACTTTTCCAGTTGAAAAATAGGAGCAACTATTATCTGTCATATCATAAATTCTATTAACCTTAAAATTGCTCCATGCTTTACATTGATTATAATGAGATAGTTGATAAAAATTTATTAAAGTATGTTTATCAGTATCTGGGTAAAATAGATACCAATATATAAATATTGAAACAGTGGCAATTCCTACATATGTTCCAATAATAATATATCTTAATAATGTTAAACCATTTATTAAATTATCATTTTTATGTCTTGGTTTACATTTCATCACATCATGCTCAGGTGGGTTGAAACCTGCATAAAATTAAATAATAAGATAAAATAAAAAGTAAGTAATAAAAAATAAATAAATGTTATAAAAAATAGTTCGTGAAATATGCAAATTTTAACAACACAACATTCCATAAGAATGAAAAACTGTTTTCATAATTTTTATTTTTCTGAGTGTAGTATGTATACTATAATATATTTTTCAATAACGTAAAATTATAATATTAATAGAAAAACTTATATATATTTTTATTATTACCTAAAGCTGTAGCTGGTAATCCATCTGTTACCAAATTAACCCATAGTAATTGAACTGGAGCTAAACTATCTGGAATACCTAAAATTGCAGTTATAAATATAGAAGCAACTTCTCCTATATTGCTACTAATTAAATAACGTATGAATGCTTTCATATTATTATAAATACACCTTCCTTCTTTTATCGCTTCTACAATAGTATTAAAATTATCATCTGCCAAAACAATATCTGATGCTTCTTTTGCTACTTCTGTTCCATTAATTCCCATGGCTATACCAATGTCAGCTGATTTTAAAGCAGGGGCATCATTAACTCCATCTCCTGTCATAGCAACTGTCTCTCCTAAATCTTTTAATACCTTAACAATTTGTTTTTTATGTTTAGGTTCAGTTCTGCAAAACACTACTTTTTCACTATTTTTTAATATTTCTTTTTGTTTTTCTAATGGAAGGTCTTCAAATTCTCTTCCATTATAGCAACATGTATTATCATCATCATCATTTTCATTATCATTTAATATATTGATTTCCTTTGCTATAGCTTTTGCTGTATCTATATTATCCCCTGTTATCATAAATACTCTTATACCTGCCATATGGCATAAATTTATAGCCTTTCCTACATATTTACGAGGTGGATCAATTATTCCTAGACCTCCTAAATAAATTAAATCTTGTTCTAATTTATAATAATCTTCTGTGTTTACAATATTTAAATCGTTTTTTTCTAATTTTTTAAAAGCAAAACTGAGAGTTCTCAATGCTTTTTTACCCATATTTTTAATCTTATTGTTAATATCATTTTTTAATTCTTGTGTTAACAAATGAATCTCATTTTTCGAAAAATAAAATTTACAATTTTTAATAATATTTTCTGGTGCACCTTTACAATACAGAATTAATTCTTTTTTATCATTTTCTACTATTACACTCATTAACTTTCTTTCCCTTGTAAATTCAATAATTTTAATTTGCTTACATTCGTTTCTCCAGGCAGTTATACATTCACTTGGTACACTAGAATCTTCCTTATTGCTACTAGTAGAATTTGTACAAGTAGTACTGACACTACATAAAGTGTTATTATTTGATTTATTATTATCTAATTTGTTATTATTTGGAGAATTTTTTTTTAAATCGCCTTTTTTATTACCATAGTTTACTTTTTCATATTCTGCAGGCATTTTATTACCTTTAGAACATGTTGGTAATATATCAAAATTGTGAACAAAATATAATAATGCCAACTCTGTGCTATCTCCAAATTTTTTTACAATTTCACTATTACTATTACAGAAAATATTAGCTTCATTACAGTTAACCAAGCACATATAGAAATTATAATCAAATTCGGAATAGCAATATTTATTAATTTTATCTTCTATAATTTTACTACCCCTACTAATAAAAGTATTTTCTTTGGTTTCCATTTCCTTCAATGGAATTCCTTCTTTATCTTCGTTATTTCTATTTTTCTTATCTTCTTTATCAGTTGTATTTTTTTCATCTATTTGTCCTTGTTTTTTTAGCTTATTAAAAAAAGATTCTGCTTCTTCACTTTCTAATGATTCATAGAAATAAAAAGTATCTCCCTTTTGGCATAATTGGTACTCTGTTAATGCATCAGATTCTCGAAATAAATGAAAAACGGTAGCTGTCATCTGATTTGTTGTTAATGTTCCAGTTTTATCTGAACATATAACAGTAGTGCATCCTAATGTTTCAACACTTTGAAGTTTCCTAACTATTGCATTTTTCTTTACCATTCTTCTGGTTCCCAAAGCTAAACAGGTAGTAATAACAGCTGGTAATCCTTCAGGTATTGCAGCAACAGCTAAAGCTACACTTATTTTAAAATAATATAAGCATCCATATAAAAACGAACCATGCATAGGGTCAGAAAAGTGTTTAAAATTTATTATCCAAACTGTTAAACAAATAATAAAAATAATTTTTGATAATTGTTTACCGAATAAATCTATTTTTATTTGTAATGGAGTAGCCATATCTTCATTATTTGATTCTATTACAGCATGCTGAATATTTCCAATTTCAGTTTTCATACCAATCTTAGTAACAACAGCTATACATCTACCACATACTATAGATGTAGAAGAAAATAAAATATTTTTTTTTAGTTGAATTTCACAATTTTTAAATTTCTCCTCTAATTTTTCAACATATTTATCAACAGTACAAGATTCACCTGTAAGCATACTTTGCTCTACTTTAATATTTGTAGAAAATATTTTTATTATCCTTGCATCTGCTGGAGTTTTATTACCAACACTTAGTTCAATTATATCTCCTACTGTCAGAAATTTACTATCGATTATTTCCCATTTTCCATCTCTTAATACTTTTGCTTTTGTAGGTTGTAATTGTTTTAGTGCCTCTAATGATTTTTCTGCATTACATTCTTGCCATACCCCAACAGCAGCATTTAATATCAAAATTAAAACTATTACTAGTGGCTCAATAAAATCAGATATTGCTATATTTTTATTTTTCATATCTAGTAATGTTAATGCAAAACTAATAAATGCAGCTAGCAGCAATATTTTAACTAATAAATCATCAAATTGATTTATTATTAATTCTAGCATACCTTTCTTTTTTTCTACTTCTAATTCGTTTAAACCATATTTCATTCTTCTTTTAATTAGTTCATCTTTTGTTAATCCTTTATTTTCATCCACATCTAATGTTTTTAAAACTTCTTCTGCATCATATATATGAGCATATTTAAGAATATTTTCCATTATTTATATTCTTTAAAAAGATATAAAAAAAAAAAAAATAAATAATAATAAAAATATGTAATGAAAAAAAAAAAAAAAATATTAAATTTTACGCTTTTATGTATATAAATAAAATAAAAAATTATTCTAAAATAAATTAATAATGATTAAAAACATGAAATAATTTTAATAAATGAATTATAAATTTTTTTTTTTTTTGTAATATTTATTAATGTGCATAATATTCTTAAGAACAATAATAAAAATATATGTTTCGCATTTTTGTCAAAAAAAAAAAAAAAAAAAAAAAAAAAAAAAGCAAAAAAAA